ATGCATAAAATTAAAAACAAAACATAAGGTGGGCGTGGTGGCACACACCTTTAATCCCAGCACAAAGGCAGAGGTAGATGGATCTCTGTGAGTTCAAGGCCAGCCTAGTCTACATAGAGTTCCAGGCCTGCTGGGGCTACAGGGAGTCCCTGTCTCAAAAAGACAAATCCCCCCCCCCAAAAAAACATTAAAAATATAAACATGTGGGGTGTGGTGGTGCACACCTTTAATACCAGCGGGCCAGGAGTCAGAGGCAGGCGGATCTCTGTGAGTTCAAGGCCAGCCTGGTCTACATAGTGAGTTCCAGGATAGTTGGGGCTACTGGGAGACCTTGTCTTAAAAAGACCAAAAAAAAACCCCAAACATAAACATGATAGCCATTGTTTGCAGTTGAATTAAAACAGTTGTACACTACTCAGTCTAAAGAGTCATATTGGAATGTAGGTGGGAAGAAGCCTTCCAGCTGTCTTAAGACTTGCCAAAGTCCCTCCTGTCCCCTTTCCTCCCTCCCTTCCTGGTATTAGGGACTGAACTACATCACTAACCCTCTTTGTATTGTTTTCAGTGGGTGTGTCTGTGCCTATGCTCTCTCACCTGGTTGATCTGGAACTCAGCCTGTAGCCCAAGCTGTTCTGGAACTCATGAGAGTCCTCCTATCTCAGCCTTTGGAGTGCTGGGATTATAGGTGAGCTACCATGCCCAGCTCGTTTTATTTACTTACTTTTGAGACAGGGTCTCACTGTGCAGCCCTTGCTGGCATTAAACTCACTGTATACACCAGGCTGGCCTAGAACTCGGACTTGGCTTGCCTCTGGCTCTATGGTGCAGGGATTAAAGGTTTGTGCCACCATGCCTAGTCTCTGCTAGTGTTAAGTATCTATTTTGTTTTATGGGTGAGTATTTTGCCTGCGTATGTGTAAGTGCACTTGTGTCGTGCAGTCCCCATGGAGGTCAGAAGATCCAGAACTGGAGTTACACATGGTTGTTAGTCGCCATATGGGTGCTAGGATCCAGCCCTGGGTCCTCTGCGAAAGCAGCCAGTTCTCTTAACCACGGACCCATCTCTCCACCCCCATCTAGTTTTCTTTTTGAGTCAGGGTCTCACTAAGATTCTGAGCTCTCTCTATAGCCTAGACACTGACTTGTTCCTCCTCTGTCAGCCTCCCAAGTAGCTGGGATGACAGGCCTGTTCCATTAGGCCTGACTTTTAGAAGCCTGTAAATGCAGCTGCTGCTAGATCTCTGGAGAGTCCATTTCTCCTTCGAGTGGGCTATGGTTCCAAAGGGCAAGACTGCTTAGCAGGTAAAGGTGCTTGCTGCAACCTAGCAACCTGGGTTCAGTCACTGGAACTCACATGGCAAAAAGAGAGGACCCATTCCAGCAAGTTGTCCCCTGACTGTGACACATGCCCCCCCCAACAACAAAAGTAATAACTGTTTAAAAGAAAAACCTCAGGACTGGAGAGACCCTATTTCCAGCTAACATGATTCCCAGCCGCCTATGGCTTCTAACAACTTTCTATAACTCCAGTTCCAGGGGATCCGACACCCTCGTGACCTTCTTCCACGTTGCAGAACACAGGTGCACTTACATGCAGACAACACACTTATACACACAAAAAATAATAAATAAAACATTTTAAAAGCCCTCTGTGTTGATATTTTTTTTATTTTTATTTTATGTATATGCATGTATTGTCTGCACATAGATAAGTGCACCTGTGTGTTGTGCAATGCCTGAGGAGGACAGAAGAGGTTGCTGGATCCCGTGGGACTGGAGTTACGAACAGTTGTTAGCTGCCATGTGGGTGCTGAGATTCGAACCTGGGTCTTCTGCAAGAACAACCAGTGTTCTTAACTGCTGAGCCATTTCTCTATCCCAATAGTTACTTTTCTTATTGCTGTGACAAAATAACTGACAAAATCAAAGAAGAAAGGGTTTATTTTGAGGGGACAGCCCCTCATGACAAGAAAGTTATGGCAGCAGGGATGTGAGGCAGCTGGTCACATTGCATTCACAGGAAGCAGGGAGGGTGAATGCTGGTGTTCAGCTCCCTTTCTCTCTCATCTTTGTTTTGGGTTTTTTTTTTTTTACTACTTTTTTTATGTGTATATGTGTTATGCCTGCATGTAGGTAAGTGCACCCGTGTCGTGCAATTCCTGTGGAGGACAGAAGAGGCTGTCGGATCTCCTGGAACTCATGTTATAGACAGCTGCCATATGAGTGCTGGGATTCAAACCTGGGTCTTCTGCAAGAATAGTCAGTGTTCTTAACCACCAAGCCATCTCTCCAGCCCGTTTTGGTTTTTTGAGACAGCGTCTCTCTGTAGCCCCAGCTGGCCTGGAGTTCACTAGGTAGACCAAGCTGGCCTCCATCTCACAGAGATTCACCTGCCTTTGCCTGGGATTAAAGGTATGCATCACCAAGCCCATCTTCCTTTTTTTCCAAAAACTTTATCATTATTGAATGTGGGTGTGTCTTCATACTTGACTCATGTAGAAATCAGAAGACAGCTTTGTATATGGAACTTAGGTCCTTGGCCTTGCGTCATCAGGTGGCTAGTACCTGAAGAACCTGAACTGTCTTCACTGGCCCCCTTCTCTTTATTCAGAGTAGGACCCACTCTATTGATACTGCTGCCCACTATCAGAGTGAGTTTGCCCTTTCTAGAAACAATATCAAAGATACACCCAGAGCTGTGTTTAAATGGTGATTATAAATCTAATCAAGTTGGCGATGATGATGATTGTTATTATCATAGGCTCTTCAAGGTGATGTCATTGATGTGTGTGTTGGGGGCGCTGACTAAACTGGGGGGTGGGGGGAACTGGTGTGTTTCAGGGTGTGGAATGCTGTGATTTTAAAATACAGAGATTGAAAGCTGAGTGCGTGCTTGGCAGTGAGGAGTCTGGTACTAGATGAAGTTAGTAAAATCCTGAGTGACTGAGTGTCGCTTTGGATCCTGTTGGCTAGAAATGTAGCTGTTGCTTGTCTGCTTAGCCTGCATTACCTGTAATCTCTGCACTCTGGAGATAGAAGCAGGAGGGTCAATGTTCAAGGCCTTTTCTACTACATAATGAGCTTCAGGGCAACCTGGGATATATGAGACCTTGTCCTGAAAAACAAAATTTTTTTTCCTGACTTTGTTGTGAGAGTAGGTGTTGAAACTCCAGATTCAAGCCTGTGTCTAGCTATGCCTTTTTATTTATTTATTTATTTATTTATTTATTTATTATTTAGATTTTACTTATAACAAACCTGGAGTTTACCAATGGGAGATTCTGATAGCCCTTGTAGTCCCAGCTGTCCTGGAACTCACTATGTAGACCAGGCTGGCCTCTGCCTCCCAAGTGCTGGTATTAAAGGCGTGCGCCACCACACCTGGCCATCTCTAGCTATGCCTTTCTAATTAAGGTAATGAGGATTGAAAAGAAGAACAGTAAATTTGTGTTACCGTTTATTAAGCATCAATTATATGCCAGGTACTGTGTAGAAACTTTGTTTTGTTTGGGTTTTGATTATTTTGAAGCAGTTTCCCCTTATAGCCCTGGCAGGTTTGGAACTGTTTACAAACCAAGCTGGCATAAAATTTGCAGTGTTCTCTGCACCTGTCTCTTGAGTGTTGTTGGGCTTATATCATTCATTGTATCCTACTAATTTCTGTTTATTTCCCTCTGAAGAAGGGTCTCATGTAGCTCAGGCTGACCTCAAACTGAACATGACCTTGAATTTGAGCTTTGGTTGTTTTTTTCTTGAGGTTTAGAGTTACATAGTATTAGGACTGGAGAGATGGCTCGGCGGTTAAGAGCACTGGCTGCTTTTGCAGAAGACCTTAGTTCAGTTCCCAGTACCCACATGGTGCCCAACAATTGTCCATAATTCCAGACTCCCTCCTCTGGTCTCCATGCATGTACATGGTACACTCATATACATCAAGCAAAACACTCATAAAGAATTAATAATAAAAAAAAATTAAGCTAGGCATGGTGGCACACATCTTTAATCCCAGCACTTGGGAGGCAGAGGCAGGTAGCACTCTGTGAGAGCTACGCCAGTCTGGTCTACATAGCAAGTGCCAGGCCAGCTGGGACTACAGAGAGACCCTGCCTCAAAAAAGACCAAAAAAAAAAAAAAATTATATTAGACCAGGCCAGCCTCAAACTCCCAATCCTCCTGCCTTAGTTTCCAGAGTGCTGAGATTATAGTTGCACACCTCAGCATCTGGCAGCCACCATACTTGGACAGAATTGACTTCATAAGTTAATACCAAACACATTGGCTTGCAGAACTAAGTTGGTGTGACACTCGTCTGTTACTAATCTTCCCATATGCATAGCGTACTTTTTTTGTTTTTTGTTTTGTATAAATATTGGTGGCTTTGTAGGTCGATCCCCAATTCCACAATAAATTATGGTTTACCACCTCTTTGGTTACCCTGACAGTCTGAGGACCCTCTAGTCCTCTGTTGCCCTAGCTGACACTTCCTTACTCCATGTCCTAGAGTTGGGTCTGGATAGATCGATATATCTCCATCTCCCTAGTCCTGTGTCACCACTTTTTTTGGGGGCGGGGGCTCTTTTTTTGAGACAGGGTCTCCCTGTAGCTGTAGCTGGCTGGCCTGGAACTTGCTATGTAGACCAGGCTGGCTTCCAGCTCACAGAAATCCGCCTGCCTCTACCTCCTGCTGGGACTAAAGGCGTGTGCCACCATCCCCGGCTGCGCCACTTTTTGACCTGTCTGTTATCTCTTCCCAAGAAGGGCAGGAGCTGTCTTATTTACTGCTGTGTTTGCGCACTGCAGAGGGTGCATGGCTCAGTAGGTGCCTGGTAAGTAAATTTTCTGTGCAAGATGGATTGGAGCCTGTTTTCTAGGTATGAAGGTTCAGTGATGCTTCAGTGCACATAGTGAAAACCAAAAGTTTTCTACATCATCTTGTCCTTTTGTGATTCAGCAAGCTCCACTCTTTGGATCATCAGGTTAACAAAATGTTTGTCTTACAGGCTGCGTGCCTCCCGGGTGCTGCTTGTTGGCATGAAAGGACTTGGGGCAGAAATTGCCAAGAATCTCATCCTGGCAGGAGTGAAAGGACTGACCATGCTGGATCATGAACAGGTACAGCATTACCACCCCACTGCTTTACCTTTTCCCCTCTCAATCTGTGAGTGCTGTGAATGAATGCTCAGCTTTCAGCCTGCAGCTCTAGATTGGAGTCTGAAGGTGCTATAAGAGTTCTTAAGACTTTGCTGTGGTACAGCATACACACACACCTTGTGATCCTGATTTAGAAGGTCTGAGACAGTCCAGGAATGGGCACTTTTTTTTTTTTTTTTTTTTTTCATTTTATATGTATGAGTGTATTGCCTGCACGTATGTGAGTGCACCCGTGTCCTGCAATGCTGTGAAGGTCAGAAGAGGGTGTTGAATTCCCCTGGAACTGGAGTTAAGGATGGTACGTAGCCGCCATGTGGGTGCTGGGACTCAAACCAGGTCCTCTGCAAGAGTAGTGAGTGCTCTTAACCGCTGAGCCATCTCTCCAGCGCCAGGAACGGGTACTTTCAAGAGATGTGTCAGCTCGGTATGGTGGCACATGCTTGCGATCCCAGCACTCAGGAAATTGAGGCAGGAGGAGTTTGAATTTAAACCAAGCTATTGCTACATACTAAGACCCTCTCTTAGAAAAAGAAAAGGAAAAAAAAAAAAAAAACAGGTCAGGCAAATGTGGCACACTCCAGCATTTGGGAGGTGGAGACAGACAGATCACTATGCGGTCAAGGTCAGGCTGGTCTGCATAGGGAGTTTCAGGCCAGCTGGGGCTGTAAGGAGACCTTGTCTCAAACCAAACCAAACCAAACCAAAACAAACAAACAAAAAAACAAGAAAAAAGAAAAAGTCTGAAGAGATTTTGTTGTAGATGGTTTACTAGCATTACTTTGAAAACTACAGAATCAGAATTGTGTGTAGACCACTTATATAGAGATGTGTAAACAGCAAGCACCCAGTAATGGCTCAGTGCTGTCTAATGGATAATAGGGGAGCTCACAATTCAAGTGGGGCTCTCTTTGACCTGGTGAAACCAGTTGATTCTTTTCTATACATACTTAGGCCCCATTGACATTGTTTTTCTTTTTTTTTTTTAATTTTATTTATTATTTTTATTTTGTATGTATGAGTGTATTGCCTACATGTATGTAAGTACACCTGTGCCCTGCATTGCCTGTGGACGTCAGAAGAGGGCATTGAATCCCCTGGAACTGGAGTTACAGATGGTTGTTAGCTGCCATGTGGGTGGTGGGAACTGAACCTAGCTCCTCTGCAAGAACAGCCAGAGCTCTTAACCTAAGCTGAGTCAACTCTCCAGCCCTGACATTGTTTTTTTCTTTTAAAAAATTTATTTATTTATTATTATTATTATTATTATTATTATTATTATTATATATTTTTGTCTTTTGGGGTCTTCTTGTAGCCCGAATTGGCCTGGAACTCACAAAGATCTGCCTGCCTCTGCCTACTGAATGCTGGGATTAAAGGGTTATGGTGCCACACTCAGCATTAGATTTTACTTTTTTGGGGGGGGTGCCAGGGGTTCGAACCAGCGACCCCCGGCACAGTGATGATTGGGGATGAGTAAGCATGCCATTCACCAGCCCACACCGCCCCAAATACCAGGGACACTCAGACGCAACGGGGAGTCTAGTCAAGCAAGGACTCATTTATTGCAAGTGTTACAAAGCTTATAAAGGCACCTGGAACTCCCCCCTCCCCCCCAAGGGTGTATCTTAAGGATGGTCACACACCGATCATGCACTCCTCAGCAGTGTGGAAGTATTCTTCAGACTTTTAAAGCAAGCCAGGTCACGCCCCCAGTAACTTCCTTTCGGACCTATGCACTATGCAGTCTTTAGGTCCCCACAAATATTAACAATTGATTACCGCTAGATGAGGAACAGCTGACCCTTCTAAAACAAAGGCCTTTAGGTGGCTCCCTGAGAAGAGATGGCTATCTCCTTCCTCTAATCTTATGCATTTTTGCCTGTCATAGGTTGTGTCACCTCTGATCAAGCCTTGCCTGTCATTGGATGGATCATGCACCTGGCCATGTGCATGACCTGTCTTAGGAGTACTTGTCATGGGACATCTTACCTGTCTTTGGCTAAAAACGCATCATGATTAAGGGCAGCCGCATGGGTAATGCCAGCCCGTGACAGTCTTAGTCTCTGCCTAACTCGGTTAGCCAAGTGTGGGCAACCAGAGGGGGTCCTGGGGGAGTCTGTAATTATGAGGAGGTGGGCCATGGCAGTTCCAAGGGTCCTCTGTCGCCGAATTATCTGGTAAAGACACTTAAAGATAATCATTATCAAGAGAAGCAAAGCAAGTCATGGCGTAGGACAAGTTGAAATACTTCTGAGAAACTGTTGTCCATGGACCGTCATGCTAGTCAGTCAGATCCTGGCCTACGCATTTAAGGTTTTTCGCAGGCACCCATATGGGGTTTGAATCTCCTGTAGGGTAGACACACCCAAAGCCTCAACCCATGGTTAGCAGTGGATCTGGTCCTTTCCATTGCCCCGTGATGGGATCCTTCCATCTTACTTGTACCTCAGGTCTCTGTTCCTGTCGTCCCCAATGCTTCTGAAACTGGGATTCCAACTGATTTTTTTGAAAATTAAGAACATAAATAGTGAATAAGGCTATACCCAACTGTTGGTGGGGGCTTATTCCCCCTTTTTGTTTTTGTAATTGAAGTTTTAGGTTTTGATGGTTGCAAAGCACTGGAGAAAATGAGACTGAGCATATTTAGACTTCTCTCCTGTATGAGTGGTAGCCCAACAGGCATGTGAGAATGTGTTTATGGACACAAAAATATACTTAAGCTTTCCAAAAGGAGCATAGTGTGTGACATCCGTTTGCCACAAGGAATTGGGCTTGAGTCCCCTGGGGTTTACTCCTGGCTGTTGCATAGGTGGTACCTGTACATAATAAGCCATCTTGTCTGCCTCTGCATTGCCTTGGGATAAAAGCCCAGGCAATCCTTGGTGCCCCCTAAGATGCTGTAAGAAGATAGGGGCTTCTCTCTCTCTAGGGAGTGTATGAGCCTGAATACTGTCAGAAAGCAATGGCCATGAGTTCCTTGAACTGAGCTGCTTTTTGGTTTCTCCACATCTGCCCCAGTCAGTGAAAACATTGTAGGCTTTTACTAAGAACTCCCTCGGCCCAGGATTTGGCGAGCGCAGCTGCCCATGGGGCTGTAGCACTCGGGGGCTGGGTGGTTCCCTGGCCACCCACGGAACTGAAGGGGCAGGGCCCCTCCCTGAGCCACCTTCCCCAAACCGGGCCTTTTAGCTGGTTGCAGTTGCAGTGCACTGCCAAAGGTGGTTTTGTCGTTTGTTTGTTTTTTTTTGTTTTGTTTTTGCTTTTTGTTTTTTTTTTTCTTTTTAAATGCACCTGGCAGCTGCTGCACTACCAATCACCAGCTGGGGAACGGTCCCTGCCTGGCTTTCACATGAGTCCCTGACTTGTGCCCGTCGCTGGCCGGGGGGCAGTACCCGCCTTGCTTTTCCGCGGGCCCCTGACCCACTCACACGTTAGTTCAAGGTGGGTGGGGTGGGCAGCTTTTGCCACCGACCCCGTGCGCTCTGCCCCACCCTTCTGCCCGGGAGGCTCTGAAGCTGGCCAGGACACACCGGAGGTGCCTCTTGTTACTTTGGCCGCTTTTGGTTTCACTTCTGTTGGCATCTCTGCCTTCTTCCTCAAACCCTTCCCATGATTCCCATGTATCCCCAGTAAAAACATTAGCCCCAAGTAGCCAGGGAGCCAAATGAATCGCTTCTGCCCAAACCTTTTGAGCTACAGGATCTGACAAATCCAATCCCCTGCTTTTAAGCATTTCTCTCAGCGCTTTAAGTGCTGGGTCTTCAAACTTAAAAATTGCATTACCCATATTTAGGGTCTTGCTTACCCGGAACCTCTTGATTGGCCCCAATCTGTTTTCCTTCTTTCTTTTCACCTTTGAGCCCCACGTTGGGCGCCAGCTGCCGGGGGTTCGAACCAGCAACCCCCAGCGCAGTGATGATTGGGGATGTCTTTTTGAGACAGGGTTTTCTTGTAACCCCAGCTGGCCTAGACCTCATTATGTAGGCCAGTCTGGCGTGGAACTCACAGAGATCGCCTGCTTCTACCTCCCAAATGCTAGGATTAAAGGTGTGCACCACTACACCCAGCTTTAGTTTTTACTTTTTTATGTGCTTGAGTGTTTTGCTGTATGTAAGTACACCCATGCGTGTAATGCCTGTGAAGGCCATGAAAGGGCATGGAATCCCTGGAACTGGAGTTACAGATGGTTATTAACCACCATGAGGATGCTGGGAACCGAACCTGGTTTTTCTGCAAGAGTAGCCCGTGCCTTTAACCACTAGAGCATCTCTCCAGCCCCGACACTGAGTTTTCTAGTAATTTGTTTGTTTCTTGGTCTTTTGAGGCAGGAGCTCACTATAGTTCAGGCTGTCTTAGAGCTTGGACTACAGCTTCAAAGCTAGCCTCAGCTACATAAGAACAGAGTTTTCTACTGCAATATGAAAAGGAACACAGGCTGGCTGGCTTAGTGCCACAGCCTGTGGTTGTTTGAATGAAAATGTCCCCCATAGGCTCCAAGTGTTTGGACATTTTGTCCCCAGATGATGGCACTGTTTTGGGAGGTTTAGAAGGTGTGGCTATCCTGGAGGAAGCACGTCACTGGGAGTGGGCTTAGAGAGTTCTTAAGCCTTGCCAGATCTCCAGTTGCTCTCTTGCTTCCTGTGCCTGATGATGTGAAAGCTTAGCTTCTACTGCTCCTGTTCCAGCCACCTCCAGCCACCATGCCTCCCTGTCATGATGGACTGTAATTCCCCTGAACTGTAAGCTCAAATAAACTCTTCCTTCTATAAATTGCTTTGGTCAGTTTTTCAGTCACAGCAACAGAAAAGTGACTAATACACAGCCAAAATGTTTTTTTGTTGTTTTTTTGAAATGTTCTCACTGTGTAGCTCAGGCTGGCCTGGAACTCACAATATTGGCCTGCCTCTGCCTCCCAAGTGTTGGTATTAAAGGCATGGGGTCACCATGCTTAGCTCTAAAAACTGATTTTTTGAGACAGGATCTCTGTAGCCCCAGCTGGCCTGGAACTCACTATGTAAACCAAACATAAATAAAATAATAATAAAAAGGAAGAAAGAACCTAAGGGAATAAATTTGTGCAAACAAGCTGACGACAGAGAACAGGTCCCAGACTCTGCTGCCCTCTAGAGCAAGAAAGCCTCATCTAGAAGAGACTAGCATACTTACATAAGACACTTTGTAACTGTAGTGGCTCTTGGTGTGGAAAAATAAAAAGACATTTTCCCCAAACCACCATCTGGTGTGGCAATTCAGTGGGTCCATCACATACCAGAGGTGTGGTGTGGTCAGAATACTACAGGCTGCACGGTGTTGATGGATCCAGGCTGATTGTTTTCCTTCCTCACTTGGAGGGCTACAGTGCCTTCTAAGTGCCAGGCACAATGGTCTTCAACCCTAGATACACTGTAGAGTACTTGATTAGTTACTTAAAAATCACAGCTCTCCAGGGTAAGAGTTAGGCTTGACAGTTATGGGCTTTGTGTAGTGTAGTGCAAGTCAGCTTCACCGGCCCGGCTCCCATCAGATAAATTTAAGAGTTCATCAACAGACCATGCTTTTCTTCCTACAGTTTTCCGGAGACTACCCCTGGGAAGCAGTGGTACAAGATGGTTTGGAGCTGGGAAATTGTATAGGCTTGGTCTGCAGTCATCTCAGCTCCTATAGCTGGACGAGGAACTTCTCAGTTTCAGTTGGCTCTTCTCTAAGCTGAGGGTGTTGATGCCTGCCAATTAGAGCATCTTAATTTACATTCAGCACGTATCTGAGAGCACCTCTGGCTATCTGAATCTGAAGTCTGTGTGTACTGGATGAAAGGATGCCCATGGTCTAGTTCCCATTCTTCAGGACCTATCCTGGCCTATCTGACTCATTGTGATAAGGAGACTTGAGAGCTTCGTAGAATTCTGATCCGAGTTAGGTCTTAGAGACTGGGGATGTGTTTATAAGTTGCCAGACTAGGCAGGAGACACTGGAGGTGCCATGTCAAGCAGCATGGTAGAAAATGGAACATGGAGAGTACTTAGTTGCGCTTAGAGTGTGAGGGGTATGGGAACAGATTGCAAGTGAAACCTGCATCAGGACCTGCTAGGACATCCCTCTGGAAGCTGTTCCTCAGTCCTCTAGGTACAGATTAAACAGTTCCAAAAGACAGGAGAAGGTGACCCTGGCAGCTTTGGCCTCTTATCACATCAAGAAGAGCACTGCCATTGAAGTAGATCACTAATTAGATCTGTTGGATTTAGGCATATTATTGATCACTGCATAAATTAGGATTGGCCCGAGATGTAGGGTGGAAGAGCACTGAGAAGGCTTCTCCTGTAGTATGAGATGTGCAAGGGGTCTGAACAACTGCCTGGAGAGGGAGATGGGCCGAAGTACACTGTTGTGAGAAACAGGAGGATCTGCAGGTGGCTAAGCAAGAGAACATAAGGAAAGCAGAACCGTCTAGCAGGGTGACTGTACCAGAGGTACCTGGCCTGTTCTGTGAGCCGTGGATATATTGTCTCTTGTTTATTGTTTTGGGGGGGGCATCTTTTTTGATACATGGTCTTCCTAGAGCCCCAGCTGACCTGGAACTAATGTAGACCAGGTTGGCCTTGAACTCACTGCCTCTGCCTCCTGAGGGTTGGGATTAAAGGCGTGTGGCACCCATGCCTGGCCCTCTTGGAGTTCTTAAAACTACTCCAGCCACCAATTGTTTATAGATGAACAAATTTTGGGATAGGAAGTGACGTTCTGGTTATTGCAGGCCTCGTAGATAATGAGGGGTATGCCCAGGCAGCCTGACTCCAGAGCCCATGTCCTTGGCCAACTCACTATGTGGGCTACACTCAGGCCAGTAGCAGTGATGTGAAAACCCGCATTCTGGTTTGGATAACTGATTGGACCGTTGGTGTCTTATGAATAGAGATGGTAGGTGGAATAGCAGTGATACAGGGCTGGTAGGCTATCCAAGAAGACCCAGGTGGATTAGAAGCAAATCTGCACCAAAAAGAGTGACTTGGGAAATGACAGCAGATTTTGTTAGAAGCTAAAAGTGGCAATGAGTTGGTTTAAGGAGCTGTGCAGAGTGAGGTGATGAGACTCTTGCACAGAGACACTTACACCTCAGAGACTAGAATGTCTTAAGGAGAAAAAGAGCCAGGATCCGAGAGCACATGGTTGTAAAACCTTGCAAGGTATTGTCTGTGGATTGACAGAGGGACCACAGCTGTGGGTCCTGCAGACTTAAGATAATACAGTGGTTGAATCTAGCCTGAATAAGTCCAGGGCCTTTGCTCCTAATTATTGATGCCCAGCTTTGCCATAGGAAATGACAGAATGTTAATTAAGGACACAATAGAGGGTTGGCCTGAAAAGATTGGCTAATTTTCGTTATGTTTTTGGTAGGGCCTCTCTAGTCCCAGCCCATCTGGAAGTCATGGTGTGGACCAGGCTGGTCTCAATCTCATAGAGATCCGCCTCCCTCTGCCTTTAGAGGGCTGGAATTAAAGTTGGTACCACCACACCTAGCATTGACTCATTTTCTTGATAGTGAGAAGTGCTTTGAGTAGTGGTAGGAGGAAATGGGGAGATGACTTACTTCACTGAAGCTAGTTTTGGTAAGGTGGTAAAGTCATTTGCTAAGTTAGATGTTTGGTATGTGAAATACTTAGTGAACAATATGAAATCTCTAATGAATAGTCCAAGTCTCCAAGGCTCTGTGAACATTCACCTTTATAATGAAATCAGTTTCTCTGTGGCCTTCACACCCTACCCCGTGTGTATGTGCGCACCCTTCCATCAATTCAAGGAGGTCAGACCCAGGGTCCTATGTGCTAGGGAAATAATTCTACTATTGGACTACTTCCTTCAGCCCTTTCTTAGTTTAAAAGTTCATTTCAAGCATTCTTAATTATGTCTGGTATTTGCACTGATCTGATTTTAAATTGCCTATTGACGGGGTCTGCATCCTCTAAGTGTCTCATGTGTTTGCTGAATTCTTAGGATTGCATACATGGTGGATACTCAGTTCTTAGGACTGGGTGGTGAGTGGTGAGCAGTTAAGAATCTAACCTTGTCAAGTAGGAGTGGGGATAGGCTTTCCTTTTGGAGTGAATTTCCCCTGTAAACACAAGGGGGTGCTCTTTAACCAATAATGGCTAGTTTCAAAAAGATACACTCTCTATGGTTAACACAAGGAAGAAAGCAGGCATTAAAAGTGTTGCTGTGGAAACAATAATACAGTTTGATGGTAGGTGTTTTAACATCCTTTAAGATAGGTTCATTGTCTTTGAGGTGATTTACATTCCAGAAAAATTCAAGAATTGAGAAAATTTTTTTTTCCTAGGTGTCTCCAGAAGATCCTGGAGCTCAGTTCTTGATTCGTACCGGGTCTGTGGGCCGAAATAGGGCAGAAGCCTCTCTGGAGCGAGCCCAGAATCTCAACCCCATGGTGGATGTGAAGGTGGACACCGAGGATATAGAGAAGAAGCCTGAGTCATTCTTCACTCAGTTTGATGCAGTAAGTTTTTTAGTGTAAAGTCTTCTGGGAGAGTCAGGCAAGTTAAAGCACCAGTTGATGCCAGGTGTGGTGGCACATGTTTGTAATCCCAACACTTGGAAGGTGGAAGTGAGAGGATCAAGAGGTCAAGGTCATCCTCTGCTACAAAGTGAGTTCGAGGCCAGCTTGGGCTACCTGAGACCCTTTTTTTAAAAAAATGAAAAATTGAAAAGAACTCACACGATTTTGTTGTGTCTCTGTGGCTTTTTTTTTTTGTCTTTTCTTCAGTGTATATGCATGTATTGCCTGCATGTAAGTGCACCCATGTCATGCAGTGCCCACAGAGGACAGAAGAGGCTGTTGGATCCCCTAGAACTGGAGTTACAGACAGTTGTTAGCCATCATGTGGGTGCTGGGATTTGAACCCGGGTCTTCTGCAAGAGCAACCAGTGTTCTTAACCGGTGAACCATCTCTCCAACCCCTGTATCTTTTTCTTGCACAACTACTTTGTGAAAAATAACGTGAGAGAACCACTGCAGTGGTAATTGAAGTGAGGTATATCCATCCTCACTTGCTCTCTATGCCAGGGCTATGTAGAAGTGAAGGGATGAGTTAAATTCTACATCAGTCAGTGCGTGCCCATAGCCTGGGAAAGCTGACAAATCCTGGACATATGGTGAAATATTCCCTAGGGAGCTATTTCTTTTCTTTTTCTTTATTTTTTTTCCTTTTTGAGACTATAAAACCTCTCTTTCGGTTGGTATGAAACTCATTGTATAGACAAGGCTAGCCTTGAACTTAGAGATAAATGCTTTCCTCTGCCTCCCAAGTATTGGATTAAAGCCATGGGCCACTGTATCTGGCAGCTGCTCATTCTTTTTAAGTGAAAGTCCCATATATGAGGGGTTAAAATTTGGGTTGGGGAGAGTTTTGTCTATTGAGGAGCAAACCCAAGACCTTGCACATGCCAGTCAGCTACTCTGCCAGCAGAGCTATATCCCCAGCCAGGAAGTTTGTTTTATAATGTACATGCCTGAGCTCAGACATGGTCTTGGAACATTCGTGTGTCCATGCAAGGCCTTCCTTTTTTTTTTTTTTTCGGGCACTTCTGTTTTGTAACTTGGCTTATAACCTTTTCCCTTGTCCTTAAATTCAGATAAAGTGTTTTAATTTTTATTTTTTATTTTTTTAGGTCTTTGAGACGGTCTTCCTGTAGCCCCAGCTGGCCTGCAACTCATGTAGTCTAGGCTGGCCTTGAACTCGGAAATGGCCTAGAACTCACTATGTAGACCAGGCTGGCCTTGAACTCAAAGTAATCTGCCTGCCTCTGCCTCCCAAGTGCTGGGACTAAAGGCCTGTGCCACCATACCTGGCTTAAATTTTTTTATTATTATTTTTATTTTACGTATATGAGTGTATTACCTACATGTGTGTAAGTGCACCCATGTTGTTCAATGCCCGTGGAGGTCAGAAGTGGGTGTCAGGTCCCCTGAAACTGGATTTATGGATGGCTGTTGACCATAACATGGGTGCTGGGAATTGAATTTTGGTCCTCTGCAGGAGCAACCAGTGCTCTTAACCACTGAGCCATCTCTCTAGTCCCAAATTCAGGTAAAGTTTTATAGCATGATCTTTGAAAACAATCTGAACAGGACTTAGCTGAACATGTTAAACCAAAGATGGTGAGACCTGGCCATGGCATATGCCTGTAATCCTAGCACACAAGTGGCTGAGGCAGGAGGATAGAGAGAATTCAAAGTCTGTCTGAACTACAGGGTAAGATACTATCTTAAAAAAATAAGTAGCACACTCGGGAGGCTGAGACAGGTTGATTTCTGTGAGTTCAAGGCCAGCTTGGTCTATATAGTGAGTTCTAGGCCATCTGGGGCTTCAGGAAAACAAAACAACAACAACAAAAAATAAAGCTGCTGGAGAGAGAGATCAGTGGTTACAAACACTGAATGTTCTTAGAGGACCTGGTTTGGTTCCCCAGCACAGGGAAGCTAACAGGTGCCCATAGTGACTAATAGTCATCTGTATCTCCAGTTCCAGGGGTTTGACACCCTCCATGGGCATTATGTGACACAAGTGCACTTACATACATGTAGGCATTACACTTGTACATATGGTGTGGTGGTGCATGCCTTTAATCCCAGCACTCGGGAGGCAGAGGCAGGTGGATTTCTGTGAGTTCAAGGACAACCTGGTCTACATAGTGAGTTCCAGGACAGCTGGGGCTACAAGGAGACCCTGTCTCAAAAAGACCCCAAAAAATAAAATTAAATTAAAAAATTAAAAAAAAAATAATTAAAAGTTAAAGTAAGAATTGAGGGAGAGGAAAGCCATTATATTTAGGCATGGCCTGTGGGTCAATTAAAAAATAACTGGTTTTACTTCTCACTCTGGCTTACTTATCAGTAGTTTAGAAACAATTTGCTGTTACTGTCTTTTCATGAAAACTGAAATATTTATGGATTGGGGAGCAAGTTTTCTGAATGGCTTCACTTTCTGTCAAAACATCCTAGTGTAGGAAGTGGTCATCACAACATTTATATTTTCTACACTCAGTCTTCTGTCTTTTAACCAAGGCACCCAAAAAACCTGTTGTACCAGTTTGAAACTGGCCTTAAACGTGCCCAGAGACACTGTTAAGATTTATGTAGATGTCAGGGCAGTGATAGAGTTTGTAGCTCTCGACTGCTGATCCCTATCTTTCCACAGGTGTGCCTGACTTGCTGCTCCAGGGATGTCATCATCAAAGTTGATCAGATCTGCCACAAAAACAGCATCAAGTTTTTCACAGGAGATGTCTTTGGATACCATGGGTACACCTTTGCCAACCTTGGAGAGCATGAGTTTGTTGAGTAAGTGCTAGGAGAAGAGGGCAGAAGGAAGCATTTCAACAGTTTAGTTTACTGGTAAGAAATGAACCACCTTAGGAAGGCAGCTCATTGTACTATAATAAAACATTCTGAAGCCAAGCTAGTGACACTTGACTGAGTACAGTAACTTGTGAACTCATAACTGGAGATGTGTGTTCCCTGCCCTCCACAATGACAGCCTAATCCAAAGCCTAAAGCATGCAGAGTTGGGGGCTGTTAAAATGTATCACACAGGAGTCTGATCTGGCTGAACTCCAGGACTTGAGCCCACATCTGACCAGGTAAGATGTGCTTAGGACTTCAATACTTGATCCCTAGCTTGTGTTTGCATGTGTCCAAGTTGACAGGTAGCAGAGGGAATATATGGTGGTTAAATGTGTAACCCCTAAAGTGCATTCAGCCAGTCAGTCCACCTTTGAAAATCTCTAGGTCTCCCTCATTTGGAATATTGAGGCTGCAAACCTTGGTAATTCTCACATGATGGGACCTGCAGTGGATTTTATTTGTAGCTTCTAAGTGAAGTATGATAGATGATGCAGTGTTGTAAAAACTATATGAGCAGGTTTTGGCCACAATTTGCACATGCATACTGAGACACCTACCTTACTAATGAGTGATAAAGAGAGGTCCAGTGGGTCGGGTTGGAGCTTCCGACTAAGAGCCTGAGAAGCTCTCATTCCTTCAGTCTCTCATGCAAGTCACTAATATTTCTCTGGTCTGTAAATTTCTTGCCTGTAAAATCAAGCTTCGAGAAGGGCAAACATGTTTATGCTGTCTACTAACTCTCGCCATACTTCGCTTTAGGAACATCTAGTTCTTGGCACGCTATGTAACTAAAGTCAAAGTAGTGGAAAGCAGGCTTCTAATAAGAGCTTTTTTTTGTCTTTTTGAGACATGGTCTCCCTGTAGCTCCAGCTGGCCTGGATCTCACTATGTAGACCAGGCTGGCCTGAACTCACAGAGATCAACCTGCCTCTGCCTCCCGAGTGTTGGGATTAAAGGCGTGAACTACCATACTTGGCTTAACATGAGTTTCTCATAACATGGGAAATTAAATTTGGCCATTTATTTTATTCTAGGAGAATACTTGCAAAGCAAACCTTTTTTTTGGACACAGAGTCTGTCTGTACCCCACCTGGCCAAGTACTTGCTGTGTAGACCCGGGCCTGGCCTTGATCTCAGATTTGCCTGCCTCCCGAGTGTTGGCCTTAAAGTCCGTCACCACATGGGCTACTGACCTCTTCAGCTCTCTTTGTGGGGAGCTTGTTTGAGCTTATTTGTGCTAGGTAGTGTACCCGAGGATTTAGGCTGTTTTCTTCTTACATGAAGGATTGCTTTTCCCAGAGTGGGTAACTGACCAGATTTTCAGTGGCTGAGGTGGGATATGAACACAGGCCTCAGGAGCTCCATAGCTTTCACTCTCACAGATACAAATCATCCTGTTCTATGAGCTGATAACATTTGAAAGTTCACATTCCGTTGACATGATTCATAGGTAGACCTTGATTTCCTTCCCTCATCACCCTCTAGAGAGAAAACCAAAGTTGCCAAGGTTAGCCATGGAGTAGAAGATGGACCTGATACCAAGAGAGCAAAACTTGATTCATCTGAGACAACCATGGTCAAAAAGGTAATGTAGGAAGCTGAGGTCAGAAGCCTGGGGCTGCAAAGGGATGGGACTTTAGTAAGAATGACAGAAGTAACCCTGGGGGGTAGAGGCTGAGCGCCTCCCATCTAATGGGCTATGGCTGCTGCTTAATTTCAACCAACTCTTGCCTTCAGGGAATAGGGGTCAGTATTCCAAGTAAGATTTTTCCAAGAAAATCAGAAATGGAGATTTTTTTTTTTGTATGCTTTGTCCTAACCTTTTAAAATTCTGATAATCTGTACAACAAACAGCCAAACAGAGCAAGCTTGTATGACTTATTTGGTATAGAGGACACCAGTTTTGACCTGGTATCTAGAGCAATATCTGAAAGACCGATTGGAACAGAGGTCATTACCTCTAATCCCATCCCCCCATCCCCTACCTTAAGACTATTAAGGTCCTAAGTGGGCAGGAGCTAGCTTAAACTTCAATTGCTTTTTTTCTTTTACTTCCCATTCACTAATAACTGTATATACATTTGTGTGTGTGTGTGAGTGTGTGTAGTGACCAGATGTTGATGTTAATTTTCTTTAACTTTAAAAAAAAAATTTATTGCTGGGCATGGTGGCACATGCCTTTAATCCCAGCACTCGGGAGGCAGAAGCAGGCAGATCTCTTGTGAGTTCAAGGCCAGCCTGGTCTACGTAGTGAGTTCCAGGACAGCTGAGGCTACAGGGAGACCCTGTCTCAAAAAGACAAGAAAAAATTTATTGAATTTCATACATGCATATAAGGTGTTTTGATCAAATCCATGTCTACTCCCACCTCTCCAACTCCTCCTATATCTCCCCATCACTTTCTCCTGATAACTTCATGTACTCTCTCTTTTTTTTTTTAATGGGGCTTTTTGCTACTCTTAACATTCCCCCCTCTGAAGAGGTAACCCTAAAATCTTTTAAGGATTAGATATAAGAGTTCCCAAATATTTTCTACACTTTTGGCCTTTGGAACTGAGTATGTTGCTAAGAGGCCCAAGGACATTTTGACCTGTAGTCAAGAAACTGGCTACGTTTCTTTGGGGTCTTTTTACCCTAACTGCCTAGCTGGTTCCTACCTCCTATTATGCCATCCTCTGAAGAGGTTACCCATCTTGGGGATAGGGAATTGGGACATAGACCACTCTGGCTTCCATGCTGAACAGGGATGGAGGGTGGGGCTATTGGGGTACCCCTTCAGTGGGTCTATCTAAAAGACTCCCAATTGCATAACTCTTATCTGTAGGGGGAAACGAAAGTCCTTGACTGGTGAATAGGAGATGTGAAGGAGAAGTAAAGGCAAGAGTAATTAATTAGCATTACTAGTTCTAGACAGGAAACTAGAAAAAAGTCAGAACAGGGCAAATTTCAAATGTTCATATGAGAGTCCATTGGAATTTCTTGACAAGGGCTTCCAAAGCATCTCTCTGTTGGGTTCCTCCTCATTTTTCTTTTGTCTGGCAAGGCTGGACTCGAGAATGATGGATTCAGGATTTGCTTTTAGGCACTTTGATAACTGTTGGAGTGGTTAGAATCATTGTTAGTTCCTTCTCAAAGGCTTCATTTTGTGTATGAGTGCATTGCCTGCATGTGCGTAGGTGCACCCATGTGCAGTGCCTACAGAGTTCAGAATATGTCACATCCCCTGGAACTGGGGTTATGAATGGTTGTTAGCTGCCCTATGGGTGCTGGGAATTGAACCCAGGTCTTCTACCAGAGCAGCCAGTGCTCTTAACCATTGAGCCATCTCTTCAGCCCTCATGGCAAATATCTTGCTCAGTCTCTCCACTTGTTATTTAAAAATATTTTTGAGTTTTTGTGGGTTTCATATAATAGATCTTAATCAAATTTAGACTCTCTCCCCCATTCATACCCCTCATAACGTCCCACTAGATTTCATGCGTTCTGTCATACATGTTCTTTCCCAAGCATTTGTGCTCAAATATCCTTCAGTGCAAGTTCACCCACTGGAGTTTAGTTGGCTATTTAGAGTCTCACCCTTAAAGAAGATCTGCTCTTGCTCACCCAGCAGTAACCAGTTGCCAGTAGTTCCTAGGCTGAAGTTGGGGCCTGCTGCCCATTTTCCTTGTTCTGTGCTGGGTTTTTGTCTGAGTCAGCTGTGAGTCTTGTGCATGCTGTTGCAAGTTCATATGGTCAAGTTTCCAGTGGCCTGAAATCCTCTGCTTCCTTATGGTTATATACCAACCCTAGCTTCCACAATGGTCCCTTGACTCTTGGGTGGGTAAGGTTTAATATAGGAATCTATCCAGGGACACATACTTTGAATTCTCTTAGTCTCTAAAACTTCACCAGTTGTGGCCTCCTGTGTGCATCATACTTTGTTGTGTGAGGAAGCTTAGTGGGTGAAACTTGAGGGATGTATTAGTATTTTCTCTTCCTCCTGTTCTGCTATATTCCATGAGCCTTGGGTGTAGAGGTTCCACTATAGATGTGTCTGTCATTTTGGGCTGGGCATCACTCAGATGCATATTCTTTGAGTGTAACCATTTGTGGAACTTTGCAATATCCTCTATCTTTTGCAAAAAGAAGTTTCTTTGATGAATGATGTATACTTGTTTGTAAATATAAGGATCCATATTTAGCACATAGAAATTTCATTTATCTAGAGATAGGGTTTTCTCTAGGATCTATGACCTCTCCAGCCATGTGTATTTGGCTATATTTACAGTGCCAACCATGAGTTCTCTCCCATTGAGAGGGCTTTAAGTCCAATTAGATAGTTGTTGATTACCCCCTAGATAAAAGTGCCACTATTGACCAATAGAGATAATTTGCTATACCAGTCATTGTGGTTATTAGGCTTTACATCTGGGTTGGACCATTGATTGATTTTCTCCCTTAGCAGCTTGCATAATATCCTCTAGAAGTATGAGAACTAGTCTTCAGGGAGGAGGCTTTCAGGTTGGATGCAACATCACTGCTCCAAGTCCTTTGTCCAAAGTATGTCCTGTCTTCAGCAGTAGGGTCTTCAAGTTCTGAGAGGTGATCAAGGGCTGTGGTAATAGCCTGTGTTATTTTGGAGTCTCTGAATTCTCTGACCAATAACATGAAGGGAGGTTTTTCCTGTCTAGCACTGTGCTCCTTATTATATAGCCTTGAAGTATATACATGTACTCTTTTTTGTTTGTTTGTTTGGGTGTTTTTGAGACAGGGTCTCCCTGTAGCCCCAACTGTCCTGGAACTCACTATGTAGACCAGGCTGGCCTTGAACTCATAGAGATCTGCCTGCCTCTGCCTCCCAAGTGCTGGAATTAAAGGCATGCGCCACCATGCCCTGCTATATATGTACTCTTGTTCATACATTGTATGTGTATTTTTTGGAGGGAAGGAGGCTGAATTAATACACTTCTCGCCTCCCTGGCACTGGATTTATAGGCACAAGCCTCTATGGCTGCTTTTTTTATTTTTTGGCATTGACTCTGGGAACTGAACTAGGTTGTCATGTTTGCATGGCAAGCACTTTACCAACTGAGCATCTTCCCAACCCCTCATCAGTAACTTTAAAAAATTTTGTGTATGAGTGTTTTCCCTGCATTTATGTGTAAGTGTACCTCGTGTGTGCATTACCTGTGTAGTCCAGAAGAGGGAATTCATCCCCTGGGACTGAAGTTAAGAAAAGTTGTTAGCTGCCATGTGGGTGGTGGGAACTGAACCCCAGTCAGTCCTCTGCTAAAGTAGCCAGAGCTCTTAACTACTGTGCCACCTCTCCAGCCCCCATCAATAACTTTTTTGTTTGCTTTGTGAGACAGGGTCCTCCTGTAGCCCCAGCTGGCCTGGAACTATGATTTCACAGAGATCTGCCTCCCTCTGCCTCGAAAATACTGAGATTAAACAGATTAAAGGTATGTGCCTGTTTAATCTGATTTCTGTTTTATGTGTATGATTGGTTTTCCTGCAGGTATGTAAGTGCACCTGTGTGAACAATGCCCTTGGAGGTCAGAAGAGGGTGTTGGATTCCCTGGAACTGGAGTTTTGGACAGTTGTTAGCTGCCATGTGCTCACAACCTTAACCACTGAGCCTTCTCTCCTGCCCCTGATTAATCTCTTTTATCTCTCTCTTTTTTTTGGTCTTTGTGAGACTGGGTCTTCCTGTAACCCCAGCTGTCCTAGAACTCACTGTGTAGGCCCGGCTAGCCTAGAACTCAAAGAGATCTACCTGCTTCTACCTCCCACCCGGCTTACTCTCATTTTATTGAAAGGAGTAGGGAAGGGATCAGAAGGCAATGAATGATTCTAAAGCTGGTGTTGGAGAAGGGACTCTTGTATTGGAGAAAACAATTTGAAGTAGCCAGGGTTGGTTTTATAAAACTAACAGAAAAGACACAACCAAGCCCATATTTACTCTTTGCTCTGTAGATTTAAATGTTGAAAAAGAAAAACAGCAGGTTGGAATGCCAAGTTAAAGTTGCATAAAGGGAATCTAAAGAGTTCAGAAACCACAAACGAGTTGCAGAAAACCTCAGAAGTGGAACCTTCAGGGGTGTGTGAGGAGGTCTTTCTCTTACTTTGGTGTTGGTATTGGGATAGCTTGAGCTCTCATCAGTATGATACAGAATTATTCAGCCCTAATTTTTAGTGTATTCCCACACAGGACTGCAGTTATCCAGACTGAACATTATCAATGTTTTGGCCAAACCTTGAACTCTGTTTTCCTTTCCTTTTGAGGCACAGTCAGACATTTATCTGAATAGCTCCTTGAGTTTGATGGGGGAGAAATGGTTAAGGAATGAAGAAGTACAAAGGAGCTTTGTGGGCAGTACTGTCAGCTTATAAATCATACGCTCTTACTAGTGTGACCCTGGGCCTTGGTGTGAAGGGTTTTATGGCTTAAGGGCCTTCTATGGTTGGGGTGCCTTTCGCATTCAGGTGGAGAGAGCCTTTGCTTTGTAGCCATTCACAGCTGGAAGTTTCCCTAGAGTCAGTTCTGATGGTACCCACTGGGGTGGATCTGGAAGCCTCTTTTGGGAGCTACTTTATCTCACTATG